TCACAAATTTTCAGAAAAATCATTTGCCATGATTGGTATGTGTGATAAAGCAGTTAAAAAAAAAATTCCATTAGAAGTAATATATGGGTAAAATTTAAGTACTACAGAGCTATTTTCATAGTTAAAAAAAAAGATGAAATCTGAGCAAATTATAATGGCTGTAAATAATCCTTTTGCTGTTTCTTGATAGCACATATTTGTGTCTGATGTACAGTACTCTCTTATCACAAATTTTCAGAAAAATCATTTGCCATGTGTGATAAAGCAGTTAAAAAAAAATTTCCATTAGAAGTAATATATGGGTAAAATTTAAGTACTACAGAGTGGAATTTATATATTCTTGTTCTGTATTTTAATAAAAATGTTCATATTTTAGTATTAAAAGAGAGATTCTTCCATTGGTAAAATCACTATGCCAGGATGTGGAGTACGAAGTGAGAACTTGCATGTGTCGGCAACTGGAACATATAGCTCAAGGAATAGGGTGAGTACAATTTGCATAACTGCTTCTGAACGCAAAATCTTTCTCTAAAATATTTAATGGCAACCTAAAAACTCCTTTTAAGATTTCTACCTTAATTCATGTGTACTCCATAATGAATTTGGAGTGTACAGATGTGTTCTTAGGAATTGGCTGTTGGCACTTTTTCAGATTTTTGTTTCTCTCTGATAGTAAAATTGCTGAACCATACAAACAACAGTTTTTTGTGAATAATGAGTTCATCTATAGCTTCTTGAAATCATTTAAATTGTACATTGATGTCATTAAGCTTATTTAAAAATGGAAGAGGATTATGGCAAGTATTAGCAGTTTCTAATAATTATTGTGCAGTTTTTTGCAAAAGGATACTAAATGTGTTTTGTAAGCAAATTTCAGTTTCAACTTTTGCTCTTAAGCTTGAAGACGTTCAGTGTTGCACATATGGGAATAGAAAAAGTCTGGAACTTCTAATAAATAGAACATGTTAACTACCCACAAAGGACTGGTCTCTGAGTGAACAAATATTTTAAAATTTCAGGTCTGGCAAGCTGTTATTGTGTCAGGAAGAAAAAAAAAAAAAAGTAGTAACTTCCCTTACAGACTTGAAGAAATTATCATATAGTTCCCTGCCCTGTGTTACACAATGGGGATAGATTAGATCTTAAGAGTCCCTCTGGCCTTCAAAATTCTGAATTTATGAGCAAATTCAAGGATGATGCTGAAACTGAAATGTAATTTGAAAGATATGGTAAATACACACTTCAGTTTGTTAGTACTGGTGTTTGTAGAATCCTGTGGCTGTGGAATGATGTTTTTTTTAATGAAGATTTGTGTTGTGGTTTAGATTCTGAGTTACTTAAAAAAACAAAACACCAGAAATTCCTGAAGCTATGTGATTTACCTCCCAACCATGGAATACTGGAAAAGTGTATGTTCAGGCAGTGTTTTAGCTTACTCAGATATAGGGAACGAATATTCCCATCAAGAACTAAGCATTACTGCCATGTACTTAATTTGTTTTGGTAAGGTCATGTAGGATAGTAATTTCCTAGATAAACTTGCCTTTATTGCATACAAAATAATTTTATATATGTGCTTTAGGCAGCTCTTCTGCAAGGTCCTTGTCCTGCAAAACTTCAGTGGATGTGAATAATGTGAAAACACAGTATTACTCAACTGAGTAAAGTTACTAATTTGTCTTTGTACTTACTTTCTTTTATAACAAAATATAGGTTATCACAGTAAATCGTTTTAACATTTTCCATATTGAATGGTTTTGGATTTAAAAGAATTTGTGATTATAGAAAAGAAAGGAGTATTTGTCGATATAGTTCATATTTGTAAAACTGAAAGTTTAATATTTTACAAAACTGAATTACTGAATAATTTGAGCTTGCATTTGAGCTTGCATTTCTTTTTACTGTATGCACATATATCATGTATCTTTATGTATCTTAAAATTGAATTCTTTTTAATAGAAGTTAAAGATGAGTGATAGAGGGAGTTCTGTTTATCTTCAGAGAGTGACCAGTTGGGTTTTTTTTCCCGTATCTACTGACTTTTGAAGGGAGGAATGGTTCTATCATATTAGTTTGAAGGTTTTTTTATGCCACCAAAATGGAAATCCACAGAAACATGTTTCCAAAGCATCTTTTTTTTTTCCCTTTTTTGCGTCCTGATTTCTGGGTCTTGATCTTAGGATGTAGTCCTATCCTTTGCTCCCCTGACCCTTCCTAGGTAGTATGTTCTTGTCTGTCTCAATCACCTTCCTCCTTTCTCATTTGTTATTGTTCAACCCCATGAGATTTTTTTTTTTTTTTGGTGTCTTATTTGAGATACAGTCTGCATTTCCATGGATTCCTCTAACCTTCTTAGTTAACCGCTGCTATAGTCAAGAGCTGAGAAGCAATCATATGAATTTGTCTTTGAAAATGATCTGTGACACATAATACAGGAAAATAATTTTTACAATAATGTAAGTATGTTATTCTGAGTAAAATAACATCTAGGATATACATATAGTTAAAGAATATTCCTTTCAGATATAACTGGAAACATTTGTTATGTTTTAAAAATGTACAGCTGACAGATTGCCTTGCTCTGCAGCTCAGTCTATTGACAACCAAAAAATGGTGTTAGTGGTAGCTTTTAGGAGCACTCACAGCTAGTGTGAATCTGCTTTCAGCCGTTTTGTTTTTTAACTAAATTGAATGTATTATACCTGGGAGCTGAAAGTCTTAAAAGAAGATAGCTGTTGTGCAGTGGAAGATGACAGTATTACTGCCAATTTACCCAGCCTTAGAATACTGGTTAAATAGGGCTAAATACATAGTTATCAATTAGTGGTCCATTCAGTATATTTTTCTTTCTTTTCTCACCAACATTTATTTTTAGCATTTATGTATCCATATACACTGTGCTTTCCCTCAGGTTTTTGTGTAGTCTCTTCCCAATGGTTTAGATGCTTTAATTTTTAATCTCATAGCAAATGGTGAACTGTCAGTATTTTTGGTATGTAAACTATTGTGGTGTTTCATGTTGAGGATGAACAGGTAGTAGGAAAATACAGACAAATAAATACACAAAAATAAGCACATTTTTAGGTAAATGTTGAAGGCATAATGTGACAACAGTCCTAATGCTTATTTTTACTATTTAGTGATGTTACCACTAAATGATATCATGTCATTTTCTTGTAATTTTATATGAATGATTAATCATCTGTTTGTAAGAATACTGTTAAGCTACATCTTGATTTGCTAGTAACCATGATAAACTCTGTAAGGTGCAAATCACTTTGATGCTTATTATAAACACTGGAAAGTGTTATCGTTCATATTGACCTAGAAAAGGGACAGCTGTTGTTTAGTCTGATTGGAAGGGGTATTTTTGGGCATTTTTATTTAAGTAAAAATCTGTCATCCTGGAGGTTGTGATCAGTTCTGTATTAAAAACTGTGATTGAAACGACAGAGTAAACTCTTCATACACGGTTGCTGAAAGTGTCAAACATAGTTTCGATTTTGTCATCGTGTTTAATGCTCGTGTAGTGTAACTTTATCAGAGTGTTTCCCTGCAGTTTTATGTTTTGGGCAGTATAAACGTTGAGGCCCAGATCTCTGGTTATTATAAACTGCTGAGGTCCCATTCTTGAGATGTGGTGCTTACAACAGCTTTCACGAATTAATGAGCAGACCAAGAGCTCATACATGAGAACAGGACAAAATGGGCTTCTTAACTCAAATACAGACAAATTCAAACAGTGGAAATCTTGACTACTATAAATTAAAAAAAGGAACATGTCAGAAAGAAAGGTGGAAATACTAGGTATGTCTTCCCAGTTCTTGCTGGTAGTAGGGCTGCAGAAAAGATCTTTCTAATCTCTTAAAGCAAACAGGAATCAGTTATACACTGGGACATGGGAAATTATGCTGGTTGGTAGCTTCTACAGAAGCTGCACTTTTGCTCCAAAAAGCGAATCTCTTTTCAACTTATTTATGCCAGTCGCCTTACTGTGCAAATGTTTCTGTGTGAAGAGTATATAACTCCTTAATCACCTCTCTGATTAAACTCTGATTTCAAAGTTAGTCCCTAATACAGCAGTCTGCTGCCAATGTATAGATTCGAGTTGTCAGGACCGTCACACGTGCAGACAGTGCTAGTAATTGCCAAGGCAAAAAGAGACAAGCGGAACCCTTTCTTTACTGCTTTAAAACAAGTCTAAAAGCTAGTGTTTGGACTAACTTGGAAACCATGTTTTCTCTGAGCAGTATTTGCTGACCCTCTGTAAATAATGCTCATCTTTGAAGCGTAAAATTGCCAGACACTTCAATCCAACATGACTCATATTTAAGAATTTTTGGCTTTGGACCACAGCATTGAGCAGTTTCTGCATATTTGATGAGAAGAGTTTTCTTAGTGACGCAGTGAAGTAGCTGGACTCCTTTGAGGTTTTTTGGACTGCATTTTCTCTGGTTTATTTCAAGCTGATCTGAATGTTTTTTAGCAGTGAAGTTTTGCATTTTAAACTTGCATGTTTCTTTGGTTGACAAAGCAAAAAGTCCTGAGATTGACTGGAGGTTTTTAATTATTTTTAATTTCCTTACAACTTTGTCAATTTTTGCTTCTTGAATACCCCCCCAAAAAAATCTATATGAGTATTTCAAGGAAAAATTGCTGTGGCAATATTGTTTCATTGTATGTTTTCTCTTGACTGCTTGCCTCACTTTGCAGGACAGAACTAACAAAAACTGTGGTGCTTCCTGAGTTAGTAGAACTGGCAAGAGATGAGGGCAGCAGTGTACGTCTTGCAGCTTTTGAGACGTTAGTGAATCTGCTTGATAAGTTTGATGCAGGTAATAATTTAATTTAGGGTTACTAGCCCAGTTCTTAATGCTTTAATACACCTTATAAATGTATTTAAATGCTTTTTGTTCTGTCTGCATTTTTCAGACATTTCTGATTTTATTTTGTTTATTTCTTTATCCTTTATTTGTTTCATGTCTTGCAGTGCTTTATACATAGTAAGTTTTAAGGGAGGTTGAACCAGTTGTCCACGAAATCAGTTATCTTATTCCAAGTTTCTAATGTAATGTGGTTAAATGGAATGAGTAAAATTACTGTAAAAATGGTAGGAATATTGGGTTATTAGTATTTACTTAATGCTGTCAATACACAGAATACAAAATGTTAGCTCAACAGATGCCATTGCTTGTGTTTTTTTTGCTGTTAACTAGTTTTTGCCTCTTAAGTGAAGTAAAGCTAGTCCTGACTACAGACTGCAGCCTGCCTTCTGAGCTGAAGAACCCAGACTGGGGCAATGATAAGATACTTGTGTGTGTATCAGTCAACCTTGCAGGTTTTAACATCCAGTGTTATATGTCAAATACATTTGTAAGTTTTGAAACAGAAAATATTTCTTCAGTTCCCATAAACTGCAGTGTGCACCGTTGATTTGTTTTAGAGGTACTAAGCATCAGCAATTACTATTTAAATCCCTTTAAGCTTGTGGCTCTATGGCACTGAAAGCTTTCTTCTTTTCAATGAGAAAGTGTGTATATTTTATAAAGCTTTTCTTTCTTTAAAAGAGAAAATATAAATGCTTGTATTTTTCTCTGTGCTTAATATCTTTCCTCTATCAACATGCCTATTTCATGCTTCTCTAGGTGTAGGGGTGACTGTGTCTTCATGTGAGGAAGGACAAATTCTCTGTTGTATCTGGTTGTTTGGCATAGTGGTGGTGGGTTACCTACACGCACGGCTCTTGGGTTCTCATCACGAGTTCAGTTCAACATTGATTGGGGCAACCTTTAAGGAGAGCTACTGTGACTGCTCGAGTATAGGGGAACATTCTGGGTAACCGCTGTGCCTTGTCCTCCAGTCAGCTGCTCTGTCTAGATTTTTTCAGGGGGATGCAGAAGACAATAACAGCTAGCATTTCTGGCTCTGTATCAATTGTGCTCTTTGCTGTTTGGTTTTTATTTTGTTGTTTTTTTTTTTTTTTACAATTGGAAAAGTATAAAGCAGCAAAGTACATGATAGATCATTGCTATAGTGTATATGGAAAAAAAAATTGTTGATCACTGCTCATTATTTGCCACTTTGCTCTTTATACTGTCTTTTTCCAAATTCTTCAGTTGTTTATCTTCATTAGCAACTCTGTATTTTGCACCACATTTCCCACTCCCACTCCCATCTTACTGACTCCACTACTTCTTCCTGATGCATAAGTGAGGAGCAAATATTTACTGTACAGGAACTTAGTGATGAATTACTAAAATACATGATTGCATATAAGCCATATGGAGGAATACATAAAGAAATAAGATAGTTTGGGGGATAATACCATAGGTGGAGTTTTTAGCAGTTAGTGCTTATATCACTAAATATGATAGTAGGTTATTTTTCAAATTATTGAGCCTTTGCATTGATGCTATCAAGTTTGTGCTTCTCTTTGCACCTCCCAGTCTTCACTCCTCCACCTCCCACCCCCAGTTGCTGTAACTACTGCTTTTAGCTATTGAAAAATGCTTAAAGAAAGGAATCAAGGATTATTTACAGGTTTGTAGGGAATGTGTTTCTAGAAATTTAGTGTGTGTAGTTTTTGGTTTCATGACTGAACTAGAAGGTGAACATTTTGAAGGTAGATGACCCAAAATTCTATCCTAGGGTTTCTTTCCCACAATATCAAAACATTTCTTCAGGTCAACGTAAATATTTTGTTCAACCATAATTATTTGCTGAATTTTGGTGTTGATCTACCATTAAAAAATTCTAATCCCTTTAAAACTTGAACATTTTAAAATATAATACTTTTACTTAAAACAAGTCAAAACACATAAATTTCTTTGAACATTTCCTCCTTTACTTTATAAGGAGGCAGAGTGCTTGGATTTGATTTTAATTTTAAAATTATTTCATTTCTTTCCTCTGCCCTTCTTTCTCTCCCTGTATTCTTGGTGAATGGAGAAATTAGTGACAGTTCATTTATTCTCTGTCTCATCCTTTACTGGGGGATGCCTTTTCCCTAAAAACAAACAAACAAACCAAAAACCAAACAAACAGGTAAGTTGTTAGAATTTAGGACCTGTATTATGGTATTATCTTTGTCATTCTTTATAATTCTTGTTTTCTGCCTGCAGTGAGTGCCTGACAAAAATACTCCTGAGCATGTTAAATTATATTTTTCATAAATTATTATGGAAGTCCACTGTTTGATGCTCTTTTTAGATATTGACCAATGGCTAACTTGAAAAATTTCTTTTGTTTTTCAGATGATAGGAGTCAAACTGTACTCCCCTTAGTGAAATCATTCTGTGAAAAATCCTTCAAAGCAGATGAATCTATCCTAGTTTCTTTATCTTTCCATTTAGGGAAACTGTGTAATGGATTATATGGTATGATTTAATGTTCTTTTAAAAAAATCTTAAAAATGAGGGAAGAGTGGAGAATTTGAGGCCATTGGAAAATATCCAGATTTGAATGTATGAAATTAAATGATAGGAAGGGAAGTATAGAAGTAAAAGTCTGAAATAATCTATTGCATAAATATGGATATTGTGAATTTCCTCTTTGTGTGTCCATCTGTTTCTTGGGGTTTTTATGTTTAGACAGGGTCAGAGATGGTGGTTTATGTTTATTGGTTTGACTGATTGATTTTGATTCCTTCTTGGATATTCTGGAGCTTGTGAGTTGGACGACTGAATTTTTGAAACCATGGTATGATGTTAACTGTGTATGTTCACTTCTGTGCTTGATACCCTTTTTGAGGCACAGAGTATGGCCCGTAAGGCGCCTCAGGGGAGAAGGGAGACCTAATGGCATGTGGGTTCTCAGCTGCAGCTGAGGCCAAATCTGTACCCATAATTTTTGTGGTTTTCACTTGAACACAGCAAATCTTTCCTTGATAATTCTGCCCATGATATATCCTCTACACAGAGCTTACCTGGGGGGGACAGCACAGAATCATGGTTTTAAATTATAGAGAATTTACCCTTCGACTCTTAAACCCTTTGATCTGACTTACAGATCTTTAAAATGATCCTTTATAGTTAGTGACTATCAAAGTGACTGTTGCTTCACCACAAATAACTCAAAAGGCCTGTTAACAGTGTCAAACTGTTACTTACAGAAACATAGAGCTAGGACAGTCTATCCTGTTTTTATTATGTCTTCCCAGTCTTTTTTTCTCTAGGTTGAATGACTTTAATTGCTGATGTCTTTTCAACTCTGAACTCTGTCTGGCAAGTTCGTCTTTTTTCTTGAAGTGTTATGCCTTAGGAGAGCTGAACGAAGAGTTCCTTCATGTGTCTTGCAAGCTATATTGCTGTTACCATTTTTCAGTGTGAAAAACTGCCTTTTTTTTTTTTGGCAATTGTTTGCAATAATTTGACATTATTGGTTCAAGTGCAGCCTATGAAGCTGCACTTTTTTTTTCTTTTTTTTTTTTAATAAATTTGACAGCTAGTTAGTCTTTCTCTTTCCTGGCCTTGTGCAGGAAGGAGAAAGGTGCAGATCTGGCTAAGCATGGTACCTTACCTCTTTTCTAATGCAATAATAGTCTAAAGTTTTAAGACCATATGTCCAGTTTCTGAAGACCGTTTTAAATTCTTATTTTCTGAAGAATAACCAGTCTCCCTCCTACGTTGATGTTATCAGAATATTTAATAAGCCAAGTCTCGAATCCAACAGCCAAAAAGGCAATGAAAATACTGAATAGTACCAGAACTAGGATGACTCATGTCAGTGAGCCCTGGGTAACTTTTTCTTAACTGTTTTTCCAAGCAATTTTGCAACACCTTTATGATTTTTCATCTCTCTTTCCTGCTCCTTTATTTTGCTTGTGAAAAACGTGACTTTACTGCATCTTTTGTAGTCACGGTTCCTGTCACCCAGTACTAGAAGGAAATGGAATCAGTCTGAGAAGTTTTGCTTTTGCCATGTTGGCTGCTGCTCATTTTCTTGTTTTCTTTTCGATATTTACAAGTAGATTTTTACTTTTGTTCCACTTTTTTTCAAAAAACATGAAAGTAATCTGACTGATCTGTAATTACATGGCTTGTCCTCCCCTCTCCAACTGTTAAATATCAGTACCACTTCAGTCCTTTTCCATTCTGATATTTAAGAATCAGGAACTAGTACTTTAAATACTTTTGAATACTGGAATGAAGCATATCTGACCCTGCACATTTTTAAACCTCTCATGTTTAAATATTCACTGACCTGTTCCTTCTCTGCTTAAAGTTTGAATCTTTGTCACTGTTTTTAATTGTACTGAGCCTGGTGACACTAGTGGAATTTGAGTAAGAAAATCAAAGCATTAAGCATTTCAACCTTCTTGGTACCAATCACTGATAGCTTTCCTCTCTCTCGAGTAGAAAACTGAGCCTTTCCTTTATTTTTCTCTTATTACTAATGTACTTATAAAATTACTTGTAATTTTTGAAGTCATCTTGCTAGTTACATTCCAGTTTGTTCTGAGTTTTCTAATTTTATTTACACCTTTTTATTACCTGTAGCAACATGGCCTAATTTTTCAAATTTCTGCAGGCATACATTCTTCATGTGACTGAGTTCCATAAAGATCTAAAAATTTAATCAGGAAGAAACTGGTTTGTTACACAAACTGGTGTTAGTGGAACACACAAATATATTCACAGTCCTGCAGTTAAAGTCTTGAGTATTTCAAGAATTATGTAAACATACATTATGATTCACTCTGTTATAGTTAACTGTAATTTTTCTGTAATCGCTTTTTCTGTATAATGTGTACTGTTGATACTCTGCTAGACTCAAGGTGGGGGGGAGGAGGGATAAAAATCAATGTATTTGATAGATTTGTAAATAAGATTTGTTTTGGCACATCATTAATAGCATTTGTAATGAGGAAAGTAAACTTTTTTTTTTGAGGCATTTTTACTCCTGAACAGCACTTACGGTTTTTGGAATTTTACAAGAAGCTTTCCACACTGGGTTTACAGCAGGAAAATGGACACAATGATAATCAACTACAATTTCAAACTCTGGAACAGGAAAAGAAGTATATTTCAGTGAGGAAGAACTGTGCTTATAATTTTCCAGTAAGTAACATTAATTTAAGGTTAAATAATTTGTTTTGTGCATATAGTTCACTAAATAGGACTGCATGAGTGATAGAGAAGTTATTCACAAATTGTACATTGTTAGCTAGATTCTAGCTTGCTTCTGGAAAGTTGAAGTTAATGGCTTAAAGCAGGAGTTGTCCAAAAGAGTTAACAGAAAAGATTCTTTTTTGCAGAGTCTCAGCAAATTACTGTTAAGTTTTGACTGAAAGAATCACTGGTTGACTAAGAGATCACTGGTCTCATTGTTTCCTGCACATTTTCTCCAAACCTTTAGCACAAAGGCTTTGAAGAAATTGCTATGAAATAAGAGTCCCCAGTTTCAGACCTCTCAAAGCTCATTTACTGTGTGTCATGGCATTCCAGGGAGTTTAAGATCAAATCTGAACAGTTAGATTTGTGTTTTAGTCATGTTCCTGCCAGAATACAGAAAGTCTTTACAAGTTTATGTGAGGTCTTTAAACTTACCACTCACATGTTTCTGTAAATCTGCTTTGTATTTTGACCTTCTGCATTTATATTTAAAGAAAATATGTTTGTACCAAGTGGCAGTAGACAATTATTTTTATTCTGCCTTTTAAAGACAAACACACTGTATGTAGGTAGACATCTGCTGATTTATTTGAGCAAACCAAGGTATGTACACACACAATTATGTTGAAATTCAGATGCTTGCTTTGCTGCTTGTTAAAATGTTCTTTGTTTTTGAAGTCTCCAGTTGCAGTTTCCACTAGCATATGGAAACATTAACAATATTTATAAAACTAAGGTTTTATATCTTGTGTTTTTAATCTATGTCTTCAGAAAAAAAGTCTGCAGCATTTCTTGAAGATACATAAATACAGTTTAGTTCTCAACTCCAGAACTTGTGTGGTGCCTGTGTTTTGACACGGCCATCAAAAATACCATGCTACTTTAAAATTACAACCTGTTATCTCCCAAGTGTCTTGCTGGTTGTAATTCAATGTTTTCATCTGATAATCTCTGATAGTGTGATCCTTCAGCTATACAGTTAATAAAAGACTTTATCTTTCCACAGGCCATGATTGTTTTTGTGGATCCAAAGAACTTCCATTTAGAACTATATTCTATATTCTTCTGTCTTTGTCATGACCCTGAAGTTCCCGTTAGATATACTATGGCCATAAGCTTCTATGAAGTAAGTCTACAACAGTTCTTTGTTAGTACTTGCATATTTTTATTTTATGTTGTTTTCTTCTCTAAGCTTGCATTTGTGCTGTTCAACCAAAATAAAAAGACGAGAAAACTTGTTGAAATGATTTAGTTTGTGAAAGGTGCTCAGTCCCTTCTAACCTGTATATGTAGCCCATATACACACATTAGTCTATTTAAGTTCTGTGACATTTGGCTACAAGAGCCTACTGCTAGGTGAGCTTTTAAGGAGCAAAAGCTAGAAGAAACTTATAATAGTCTAGTACCACAAACGTAAGCAACTGTAGAAATTACAATATTTGAAGGTTTTCAATGCTATTAGAAAATAACGAGGCAAACGGGAGAAAGGAACTTGCCATTTCTGGTCCTGAAAACCTTCTTTAGAGCTGTACAGTTTGCTACTATGCTGGTGTTCTGTGGAGAATATTTATATGGATCAAATCTAATTTAAATGCTCAATTTAATATGAAACTACTTGGAAATTTATGCAGATGTAAATGCATATGTATTCTTGTTATTCCATGCAGTTTACATAAGTTCCACTGTATTATTCTTGTAAAAGTTAAAAAATGTACAGCTGCATAGATATTATTAGTTATATGGGGTGAATTCCAGAAATGAAAATACACTCTCTCTTGATTGTAGTAACCCATATAGGGACCTCCAAGGCTTTAGTAGCGTTTTGCTGAGAATCCTTGCGTTTCAGTCCTTGAGCTACCCTTTTATCCCATTTTGTTGCTGGGGAAATTGGCAAGTTAAGCAGCTTGCTTGAAAGCATTTAAATCAGTAGTAGAGGCATAAATTAAGCTAAGGTGGCTTTATTTCCACCATAGTAAGAAAGATGGATGGATTCCAGTTCTTGTTACCTATTGATGCCTTGTCTTAATGAATAATAACCCAAGATAATTGTTGAAATTGTAAAATTAGCATCTAATTCTACATAGTATTTTGTGTTAGATGTATAACACTTTTAAGGTACTGCCTGAATATAAACAAAGTATTTTAGCTCATTTGAAAAAACCTTGGCCTGAATGTACATTCAGTGGTGATTGATTTAATTTTAACACCATAACTAGGCAACCACATGACAGCCAAAAATGAGTAATTTATGGCTAGGTGGATTATTTTTTTTTTTAAACAAACTCCCGGTAGCCATATCCTTAAAGCTTCATCTTGATTGGAAGTAAGCTCTTGTTTTCACTTGGCTTAGCTAAGCAAAGAAAACCATTAAAAAACATAACCTAAATATTCTATATGGCAAAAATCTCATTCCTCAAGTTTTTCTCGTATTTGCTATAAAACCTTTTTAACTCTGTGGAGATGGACTGCTGGTGGTTTTTTTAGAAATTTATATGTGAATCTCAGTAAAAAAAAAGCCAAAGAATAGAGGAGTGAAAACTTCACATGGAAAGGTTGAGGAAACTTAAAATCCAGCACAGGCTATGTCAATTTTTATATTTTATCTTTTGTAAATTATATAGCAGACAGACTGTTAATGTTTTGAAGGAGAATGAAGTACATTTGAATATTCCAGAATGAATTTTTCCAGCCTTGCAGTGCAGTCTTAAAAATTTTTACTAAATGTGAAAAAGAGTTAATTCTAAAAGCATGTTTCATGGTTAGGTAATAGGCCTGTTTCTTGACTCATATTCTTTATATAAGCACATTTTTAATGTGATCAATGGGAAAGTACACAGCTTTAGAAGGCTGATATTATACAGCTGTTCTGCATCCCTTCTTCATGCTTGCTGTAAAGTAAATGCATGTAGTATAGTGCTTGTAGTGCCACGAAAGTAAAGAATGTTTCACCTTGCTATCTTTTAGGTTGCTAAGCTTTTAAATTCTGGTGTGTATACAATACATAAAGAACTGGTTACACTATTACAAGATGAGTCACTGGAGGTAATATATTTTTATTGGAACTTTCTTTTGCTTGTTACATTGAGGAAGATTATGTTTAATAACTGCAATAAGACAGTACAGTAGTTTTTTTAAATGATCAAGAGCTTTTACTTCTGTTTCACGGGCACTTCATAAAGATGCCAGCCTTTTGTTAATAAAGAGGAGGAAAATAGGAAGATGTTTGAATTCAGTAAACCCACCCTGAATTTATTCCTTTTAGAAATATTCATTCTAAATTGTTTTAATTGCTATATTTATTACATTACAAATTCTGTGGAAAGATTAGTTTTTGATATTATATTAAAATAATCTGTGATAGCGTTCAAGGTTTTTGCTTTATTTTCATTTCTTTAACTGAAGAGGAGATAGAAGAAGTTGTGTATGGTTCAAAGATCAAGATTTATAGAAAGAGTTTTTGTCCAAGATGTTGTACAAAATCTGTGAGTGTTCATGAGGCAGTTTAGTGTACCTCTGTTTCAACCTGCATAACACATTGTGAGACTTCTTTGGATTTGAAAAAAAGACAAATATTTCTGTTTGAGACAAAATTACCATTTACTCTGATACCAGTTATTCCAATAGTTGATCTTTTTTGTTTTCTACGTAGGAAAAATGAGTTTTACTTTCAAGTGCTCCTTTTTGTTTTTGTACCCTTTGTTAGACATTTTCAAGGAAATTAAAAGTGTTCATAGAACACCTACTTACAGTCTATGAAATTCTGACCCATCTTAAAAGATTTCTCAAGTTGAACACCTGAAAGTTGAGACTCGGAAGCAGCTGGTGATGTTGAAAAATTCCTTGGATTGATCCCTATACAGTTACCTAAATAATAAAAAATACTTGGTGCTTTATCTTATATGCTACCTCAGTCAGAATTGGTGTCAAACATATTTAATTATGTACTCTTCTAGTCTAATTTCAAGTATTACAACATTTGAAAGTAGGGTTGTTCTATTAATGTAGGCTATTTTAGTCTATTTTACTGTAGTTTTTCTTAAAGCAGGAAAAATTGCTTTTAAGATTCAGCTGACAAATAAAAAATGTTTCTGTGTGTGTGTTGAGGCTCTAACTTAACTGTCTATGAAATACAGATCTTTCTTAAGAATGAATGTTCATTTTAAACTATTCACAGCAAACAATATTTAGGAAAGCATTGACTGTGGTATTCACATAAATCAAAACTACAGTTTGTTTTCCTAAACTGAAACCCGTAATACTTACATGACTTACTATGTTAAAACATCAATTTTAAATCCCAGTCCTAATCAATGCAATATGTTGCATATCTCTCTCTTTTTTTTTTTTTTTTAAACATGAATCTGAGAACAGTAACATAAGAGCTGTCAGCAGGGATATGTTGGTGAGAGATAAAAATTGAGTCAAGTTAATTTACAGACTGCATTCATGCAGCCTTTCTTTAAATAGGTGTTAGATGCCCTGGTAGGTCACCTTCCTGAAATCCTTGAACTAATGACTAATGGAGGAGAAAACAGTGGATCAGAAAGCAAGGTGGGTATTCTTTCGTTTTTTTAATTTGCTTTCTAAGTGAAGGTAGTAGTAATGCTGTTCAGACATATATTGTATGAAAAGGCTTTCATGATTAGTTTCTGCTTTGGAGAAATACGAAGTTTCCGTGTTGTTTTGATTGTTGACTTTATAAACATTAAAATTAAAAAAAAAGGTTTTGAAAGATTAGACTTAATATAAAAATGAACAATTTATTCATGTTCTTCTAATTAACCACAGATTTACTGAAAGAGGTCAGATTTTGGAATACCGTCATTAAGTTAAAACAAAATTTGGTTTCATGCTGAAGGAGTGATAGCTAATACCTAATTTATATATTTTTTTTATATTGATGTGGCAACTGCCCGTGGTTGCCATTTTCAAACACAGTTTCTGATAGAAGGAAGCCTATTTCCTGAAGTAAAGGTACTGAGTTAGGATTTTGTTCTTATTCAGCTCCCAACTTTGCTAATTTAATTGAATGTGGCTGTGGATGATGGTTTATTCAGTGACTCCTCACCTGTAAAATGGAACGTAAAAGATCATCTCCTGCTTCAAGATGCTGTTTTGAGCATACTTCCTAATTGTATAGAGAAATTGAGATATTCCAACAATATAAGAACTGAATGAATTTATTTTCTTATATGGACAAAAGTTGAGAGTGTAATTTAAAACGTGAATTTGTCAGATGTTCACAGCTGTAAATATATATAACATGTAACAAATGCCATGTCAAGTGAGGCAGTGTGTTTCATTTTGCTTAGTGCTAAAGAGAATTTAGCTTGGCTACTATAAAGTCTTTGCCTCCTACTGAGAATAAGTGTATAATTTCCACTGAAATTCATTAGAGAGCTGAGAAGAACTGCAAAGACTAAGAGGTTAGGAGAATGAGATTTATTTGATTTGAGAAAGAAAAGACTGAGGATGGTTGTCATAATGGTCTGAATATCTGTAAAAGGGTATTACAAAAAGAACAATGATTACGTTTTTTTTGTCATGAGTAGGGACTGGAAATGAAAGTGTATTTAGTTAGGCGCTGGAATAGCTTTTTGACTAGTTAAGTGGAATTTACTGCTTAGGGGAGCTTGTTTATTCCCAACCATTACATTTTTTTAGGAACAAGTTAGAGTAGTATCTACTAGAAATGATCAGTGTAGCTGATCCTGTCTCAGGAGAGGAATTAATTGACCCCTTAAAATTTCTTCCCTTCTTACATTGTTGTCCTTTTTAAGCATCGTAACATGACATACCACTAGAAGATGTAAAATTATTTTAATGTTTATATTTTTATTTCTAGTTATTGTCTATTCCTGACTTGATTCCTGCATTAACAACAGCAGAACAGAGAGCAGCAACTTCTTTAAAATGGAGAACTCATGAGAAGTTACTACAAAAATATGCATGTCTCCCTCATATCATATCAAGTGATCAGATTTATTACCGTTTTCTTCACAGAATGTTGACAATCATTTTGACAAATGTGAGCCTGCCTGTTCTTTTAAATGTGTTTATGCTATTTAGAATAATGACCACAAGATATTCGCTATGTGTAGTACTTTATATATTGTGTTAACCTTGAAGTATTGTATCTCATGCATATGGTATTTCAGGCTGTGTTTTTTATGACTGAGAAATTGCTCTGAGAACTCCTCCCCCCATTTGAGGAGCAAAATTTGGATTGACAGATTGTCATGTTTTTCCTCCCCCCCAAGACTTCTTCCCTTCCCTTGTGCTTATTATCAGTTTGTTTCTAGGTAAATCAAAACTTTTTCCGCTGAGATATGGCTGCTTTTTCCTGATTCCATACATTACTTTGCATTGTGTTCCATTCCTTATGAAATAACACTTTATTCTGAACATCAGTGATCATTTAGAGCTACTATTTTATTGAATTAATATTTATTAGAGCTAAATTTTATTGAATTAATTCAAGAATGAAACTGCCTGTTTCTCTTTAAGAGAAACTGTTGTAAGTTTATTTTTTCTAACATTTACAATATAGAAGGTGCCTTCCAACCATGGAATACTTCAGGTGTTTATGAAAAAGTTGAATAAGCAAGTTAGGCAGAAGTGGTAAAGAAGTAGGTGTCTCATGAATTGACCAACCTCCCTTATTCTCCCTGACATTATGTCATTTATTGCAAAATTTGTTAAGTTAGGATATTTTTTAGCTATTTTTTCTACTTCTAGATTTCTTAAACATTTTTAGTCGTATTCCTTCAGGTATGTTTAGTTGTGTTCCCTTTATTTCTTTCAAGAATGTCCTGCCAGTCCAAAAAGCAGCTGCTCGAACTCTCTGCGTTTATTTACGTTATAATCGCAAACAAGAACAGAGGCATGAAGTTATTCAGAAACTGATTGAACGTAAGATAATTTTTCCTTGATTACATAGACATGCAAGTGAGTTTTGACTGAAGGTCTATTTATGGTTACATTTATTCAGTGTAACTTCCTGCCATCATTGGAGGGATTACACTTAGAAGATATTCAGTTGCTCATATTATCACCAGGCAAAACATACTGTGCGTATGCGAGGAATGTATCTGAAGCTCATGCAAAGGAATTGGGAAAGAGGCAAGGTGGGAAATTGATAGTATGCCAAGACCCCTCCAACCCTACTTCTTGAATCCGAGATTGCTTCGCTGTAGGTGCTGCAATATATAAAGTGGAGTTCCTCTACAGAAGTAAAATTCTCTAGAGGCTTCAGCATAAGAAGTGGCAAATCAATCTTCTCAGAAATTAGTTTATGAATGAATTAGTCACCTAAGTGGACTTTCTGGTCTATGCTATGTGTTCTAAAGATAGGTTAGAAGGTTGAATAGTTCCCATTAGCAGTCCTTAATGTGTACACACTAATTTTGATGCACCTGTGACATGGTTTGAAAAGCATACAGGGCTTTGTTCAACACAGTAGCTACTTCACTTGCTATTTTTGCTTGTTGAAGGGACAGGTTGAATTTCTGGAAAAAAAAAAAAAAAGGCTCACTGACAGAAGTGATCATTGAATTCAGAAGGTTAGGTTTTCACTGAAAGAAAGAATTGAGATAGGCTGAGAAGGTGTGCCTTGTGATGAGTGTGATTATCATCTTTTGAGTCAAAGGTTAACCTTTGAAATGTTTTCCAGCTGACATTGAAAACGTAATAGATAATATCTGTGGATTGTTATTTTTCAGAATTGGGCCAAGGAAAAAGTTACTGGAACAGACTTCGTTTTCTAGATACTTGTGAATTCATTATGGAACTGTTTTCAAAATCATTTTTCTGTAAATACTTCTTTCTGCCTGTGCTTGAACTTACACATGATCCAGTGGCAAATGTCAGGTACTGTATGAAGAGCATGTAGCAGTGTACAGGAAAAAAATCTTTAAATAATATATTAAGAAACACTGTTACAGGTTTTATGTCTGGTTTAAATAATGGGACTTGAGGAAAAAGGTACAGAGCCTTCGGAGTGACCAGTATTAAAGTTGTAGGGGACTATGGGAATAATGTTAGAAAACCACAGAAGCAGGTCAGTCTGAGTATTTGGGGGATTGATCGAAAGTTTTTGGAGTGAAGGGAACACTGAGGCAGAGGAGCCAGCAATAGATGAGAAGAAAGTAATATGCTGTTTCATGGGTGTAGAGAGAGAAAGGTAACTTCAGAATTTTCTTTAATTTCCATCCATTTCACTGTCACTATGTAAAGTAAAACACCCAAGCAATTCTTTCAGTGGTCTGAGTTTAGCAAGTTAGCATAGATTTTACATTATGTAAAAGTTTTCTACTTCATTGTAAAGTGAATTGAAAGAGAGTAGAAAAATATAAGGAAATACGATGTGCTATTCGTTTTTATGCAATGTTCTTTCCATTGTTTTTGTAGTAAATTTTTTTCTTCACTGAACAGATAGTGATGAGGCATTTATTACCAATAAGAAAATAGTTCTTTTTTTGGTCATGTATTTTGTGTGATTTTATGCTTTTAATCTTATTTCTTATGTTAATGATGACAACATGAATTACACACATGTCTGAACATCTAGTACTAATGCGAATACTAAATACTAATTACATAAGCATAATTTGCACGTACATGTGCGCATTCAGTAAGCTTCGCTAAGTGTGGTTTATTACCAAGTGAAACTGTTTAAATAGACCTTGTGTTTAGTATAACTCCCAACATCTCAGTTCAGCAGAATCCCAAACAAAAACTGAGCCATTTTGTTCATATAGGTTAACATTCATCTTGCATGTACTTAAATGAAGAGGATTATATTACAACAACAAACTAACTTGGTATATAATCTGAAGTAGTTTATTGCTTTTAACAAATATTTGAATTAAAAGCTCTATTGATACCATATTAAAATTTAATGGAAAGTTGAAATAACTTGTAATCCCTTAACTGACATAAAAATTAATTTTGTCATCATTCTTTTCTGGATTGTTTCCTAACACTTTTTACAGAAAGAATGCACTGCCTGTAGTGAATTGAAGTTTAGAAGTCTGACATACCTGTTAGCTTGTGATTTTAAAACAAATTTAGGGAGATGATAGTCTAGCTTTCTATAGAGTGGTGTAACTCTTTGTAATGGGGAATTGTGAAGGTTAGAATGTTTTGAGGGTATAAAAACAGTAAGATGAATTCATATAAGAAAACTTTTTGAATGTTATTAATCACAAAGTTACCAGGCACAGGATTGTCTCTGATCACAAGCCGGTGGAATCTGAGAACAGCAGAGAATATCAGCATATATTGTTGAGTTTTTTTTAAATCTATTCCTATAGATTAAAATGATTCACTATTAAATGCTATTACAGTCTGATCAAATGCAGTAATTTTAATTTTCTGAAATGTATGAAATACTTTTTTATTTAATCTGCAGAGTATTTTGGTATTAATGATACAAAAAGCAATGAACACATTTTTTATATAATCAGTTTAGAAACATCTAGGAATCAAGGCAAATCAATGATATGATTCTATGATTCTATAATAAGTTGGAAAAGACCTTTAAGATTACTGAGTCCAACCGTTAACCTAACACTGCCAAGTTAACCACTAAACCATGTCCCTAAGCACCACATCTACACATCTTTTGAATACCTCCCGGCATCCCTGGAGTCAGTGTCTCAACCACTTCCCTGGGCAGCCTGTTCCAATGCTTGATAAACCTTTCAGCAAGGAAATTTTTCCTAGTATCCAATCTAAACCTCCCCTAGTGCAACTTGAGGCCGTTTTGTCTTGTCTTATCACATGTTACTTGGGAGAAGAGAATTACAGAATCACTGAGGTCGGAAAGGACCTTCAA